AAAAAAACAAAAAAACAAAAAAACAAACTTCATGCTATCAAAAAATAGGCTGGTGGTCCGCCTCCGCGAAAAGCAAGACTTAACTTAAGCCCTGCTCCGCTAACTTCAGTTGACTAGCAAACTGCTTTCAAACAACTTCTTCGTCTTGACAGTTGGATAACATTCCCAGGGATAGACTGGGTGTGCTCGGACCTCCTGCATTCAAGGATCTACGAGAGCTGCGAGTACTTCTTGAGGAGGGGACTTGGTACTCAGGCTCCAGGATCCGCTTCAGGCGCCGAACTGCCGAGGCGTTCTGGCCTCCGTCTCTTCTTCCGTCTCTTCTTCCGTTCTGCTCTGGCTGAAGTTCACTCCGAGGCACACAGGTCTGTGCGGTGGCCGGGGAGTGCATTCCTGGAGTTCGCTTGCCAGAGGCTCGGCACACCACAGCACTGCCATGCAGCATGGAAAGCATGCCAAGACTTCATCAGCAGCTACTCAGCTACTGTACCCTGCAGCTACTGTACCCTGCCCAGCGGCTTTCTCGGGAATTGGGCCTGCAGCTAGCAGCTCATTCAGCCAAAACTGCAATAGTGTCAGGAGCTCACGGCCTGAGAAGGAAAGGGAGATGCCCCCAAAAAAGTTGCGATGCGATTCCAGGTCTCCCTGGCATTGTTGCGAAGAGAGTCCTGCACAACTCCGATTGTCTCAAAAGCTGCGGAGCACTCTTCGGTCCTGATGAATCATCAAGACTCTGTCGCGGAACAGCTTCCGAATACCTGCCGATCGTCGAGGAGCTGACCATGTTGCACATGTCGGGACATGCAAGCTGCCTGGGAGGGACGGGCCGAAACGATGGCGCTCTAGAAGCGGATGCTGCGCGCCGTTCCTTGCATTGCACAGGGTGTGATCCGATTTGTCTGGCAGGCGCTCAACCTTTGCAGCTGGTGTGGATGATTTCTGGCGTTTACCTCCTGCACCTCACTGCGGGCAAACGGCCTGCTACCTTCTGACCCCAAAAAATACGACCACAAGGAAGGATGTCTTTGCAGCCTGAAAAGTTGTCAAAGAGTTTGCTTCCTAGTATCTCGGCTTGAGGGAAGACCAGATACTGGGAACACCGGTTGTCCAGAATCTGCAGACCATGGCGGTGAAGCTTGCATGGACCCATCCTGTTCAATCCTGCGCCGTATGCTGGTGCTAGAGCTTTATAAACATCCGACACTGGGAACGGCCCATGTGTCGCCGGTGTTGCTCTGTTACAGCCGCGGGGCGGATTGCTCTGGAGCTTTTGCCGGTGCTCCTCGGACTGAAATCCACCATGTAGGTCATCCAACGCCGCTGCCACACTGGTCCAACAGCGCGGTGGCGTCGATGACGGTGACACCTGTTGCAAGGCTAAAGTTCCAGCTGTTTCTCCTGACGGAAAAGAATGCAAGCGATCCTTAAAGATTGCCCCAGACCCCATGGATGCTCTGTTCCGAGTGAAAGGAATTGCAGCTTCCGGGCTTGAACCCATTTAGTGTGCCCGAATGCACAAGCTGCAAGGAGATGCAACTCGCGGCGGACGTTAATCAAAAAATCGCATCAGGAGTTGCAGAAAAAGGTAGCCACGACCGACTTTGTAGTTTGTACGTCTGTCCGAATCGTTATTGCAGAAGCCATGTGCCTCTCATACCGGTCTACAACAGTACATTGTCAGGACGATGGCGAATATTGGGAAGGTTGCTGGAGATTGCAGCTCCAATTGCAAACAAGAAGTGTCTGCCAACATGTTACAGGGGCTTGTCCAGTGTGGGTGTCAAATGTCCGGCTGAAAAATGGCCTTGCCTTGAACATGTTGCACGGGGTTGTCCAGTGTGGGTGTCAACTGTCCCGGCCGAAAGATGGCCCTATCTTGATGCCTGACTACACCATGCTCGCAGAAGTTGAACAAGCTGAAACGAAGTTGCGAGACACCGTCATCAAACAGCTTCAATGGATGGACGTCAGTGGGATCGAAAGGTTCTCCCAGTCTCCAGCACCAACAAATAACTGCATAACTCAATTGAGAGAACATCGAAGTGGAAACTTGCAGCGCCTCCGCCTCGCGTCCCTCCAAGAGCCGACAAGGCTGCAGCGTGTCCACCTTGGAGCCGGCCGCGACCCGCAAAACCGTGCTGCGCTTCGAGACTTTGAGGCCGTGAGGCCAAGAAGAATCGCTCCAGGCGGCCTCCAGGCGGCTCGGGTCGCGTGCCGGCGTTGCAGATGCAAGCGCGTCGCAGGCACTGGGCGCCCGCGCCCATCGGCTCGCAGAGGATGACAATCATCCGAAGATGCGGGATTCCTCAGACGGAGATCCAAAACACGGAGCCGAAGCCTTTGCCTTTGTCACGCCGAGGAGCTTCGAAGCCCGTGCCTGCAAGCAGCTCACAACGATCCCGGTCAACATAGCGACAGCCCATATTCAGCCGAGAGTACAACAGGCTGCGTCTTGTGAAGATTCCAGAATGGCGTGAACCCAACAGTCCTGAGATGAACACAGCTGCTGCGCAGCTAGGTGACCTTTGTGCATCGGCCCTGTCCGCTTCAACAGCTTCCTCCCGTTTTCCTATGACACCAGTGATGCAGCGCCCAGCCAAGTTTCGTGCATGTGCATGCTCAGCTCGCCGCGAGCGGCAGACCTCAAAGCAAGTGCCAAAAGCACGCGGCGCAGCATGTGCTTCAAACATGATGTGCCTCCAGCTCTTCCCGGCTCGGAAGACTGCGATGAAACAGAAGCAAGGAGTCCTTCTTTCAGGAGTGGCAATGCATGCGCCACACCCGCGTCTTCTCTCTGATCAAAGTCCTCTCCGAAGGGCTTCAGGAAGGCAATCTCTGGGTGCTGGCCCAGATTGTGGTGCAGGGAACTGGTGCCACAGCGGTCGATGCCCGCGATCTCAGCTCCACACGGTTATGGGCCCAAGTGTGCTACATCCATGGCCGAGGCACCGTCCACAAAGTCTAGCGGAAGCTCCTCCGGTCAACTCTTGCAACCGGTGGAGCGCCGAATACAATTGGCGATCTCCTGCCAAAGGACAAGCTCGCGAGTCTTGAGCACCGCATCGGATGGTGCCTTAGCTCTCACTCCCCCCTACTACCTGTTCCTACTGGTGCAGAAATGGAGAAAGAACCGCCACAAGCCGAGGGTCACCCAGCCTGATGGTCGTGGTGTTCAAGCCCAGCAGGTGTGCAACAAATTGGGGCACCTTGTGTGAGGTGCAGCGAGATGCTACCAGGGTGCTGCGCTTTCTCTCGGCGGGGCCCGGGCCACTTCCGACTGCAAGACTTGCGCCGAGCAAGACAGCGGTGCGCAGAGGCCGAAAGGCATCAGTCGGCCCTCGGAGCCCCCAAAGGCCCAAAGGTTGTGGACTTCTCTGTCGGACTTCGATCTTCGAGCCAAGGAGCGAGGGCCTCTCCCTCCTTTCCAGACCCGTAAGTCCAGGTCCAGTTGACAGATGACAGGTACTCGTGCAACTTTAGCCTGACAGAATAACATACCGGGAATCTTCCTGACGAAGTCTCCTCGTGCCAGGGGGCTCGACGTCCCAGTAGCGGCCACCTCCTCTCGGACACTGCACTCAGAAACCACACATTTTTCTTCGCTCATCAGGCCTCGGAGGGATCGGCATCGCAGCAGTTGTGCTTCCGCTGCGTCTAGAATCAGCCCGTGCACCTCCAGCGATGTGGCCTTAGTGTGCGGTCTTCTCCACCGGACAACCTCGCCCGACTGTGCAACTGGGCACGAAGCCAGGTCGTTTCGCATGTGTGCACCGCTCTCACGAAGAAAATCCCGGAAGGCAGCACCTGGGTCTTTCGGGTGCGCTCTCTCCTTCACGCAACTGCGAAGGCTGCATCGCATGCGGAATACTTGCAGCTTCGGCACCATACTCCGTCGCGCACTGATGCCTCCGGAAGGTAGGCCATAAATCAGAAGGCAGAGCCTACCACCTACGCGGTGCGACACCTCAGAGCGTCTTTGGCCAGGACGGAGGAGACAAAGATGAAGCAGAGTCCAGAGTGGCACTGGACACGAGCGCCAGGAAGCATGGGAAGCACATTTTCTCAAGCATTCCTGTGCAAAGCGAGCACATGTAAAGAACTCTCAGACTACATGGACGATAGCCAAGGAGAGTGAAGCACATGTCTCGCAAGATGTATGCAAGGTCATCACAGTTCCTGAGCCGGACTGGTGCAGTGACGTTACCGAGGGGCCAAGCTCGAGGCAACACGTGCGAACTCTCGCTTGTGGCAGTGGATCCAAGCCAACATCCCCCCAACCGTGTTCAGATACGCACACCAGTTCGCAAAACCTTTCCTCTGTCCTCAAGGCTGTACACATGCACTAGCAGCAAGGCTTTCCACACGAGAGAGCAAGCTCAACGCTAGCCAGTAGAAAACGGCAAGAAATCTTCTGAGCCTTGCTGCCGTCTTGTGACAAGGAAGAGTGGCCGTCAAAGTACACACTGCTAACACCGACTGTTTTTGGACCTAAGCTCCGCTTTAACGAGAGATCTGGTTTCGGCTATGCCAAAGGCTGTCACAAGAGCCGCCACTCAGCGAATTGGGGGCCAGGCCTGGGTTGCAGAGTCAGAAGACAGAGAGAGAAAGAGACTCCGTCAAATTTTGGCTCCGGACAAAAAGCCGCACCTGCGGTCACTGTACTTCCAAGCCTTGGCGACCATGACTCATTACCCTTTTGTGAAAAGGAGAAAAGAAGCAGGGTTTCAGGCTGCCCAGGTATCATCACCACGACGAATGACGAGACACCCAACCTTGGTAACCAGACGGACGTACAAACTGCCAGCACATGCCAGGAAGCGCGGCCTGCCGTGGAGTGCATTGCCCAAGAAGGCTTTGCGCTTTGCTCCACGCCATGAGCGCCTACAAAAGCACTTGAGCTCACATTCACATGCCATCAACGTCTCGCAAACTGGATCATGCCTCACCATCCGGCGAGGCAATTCATTTACAGCAGGCAAGGTCGTAACCTCAGCACTCAGGCATGCAACCAATAAGGAAACAGTCCTGTTTGACAGTACCGATGACACACATCTGGGCTGACAGCTCAACCACATAGAGGCCAATGCCAATGGCGAGAGACCGTGCCCTGCACTGAAACAGGGGGCACGGCAAAGTCTCACCCCGATGTTGCACCTGTGGCACGGGTCCCATAGGCTGCCAGCCTGGGATATCAGAACACGAGAGAACAACATAACGGACTCGAGGATGCCCAGACAAAGCCCCGTGCTTCGACGAAGGCTGACGAGGGCACCTTGAGAGCTTCAATCGCTGTCTTGGCACCTGCAAGTCCGTCGGCGATGACTATGTCACACGAAGCAGATGTCACACCGGGCGCTCCACTCCAATTCGCACTGGAGATAGTCGTGGTCCTTCACATGCTCTTCAGCTCTCTATGGTGCCCCGCATCGAACATGTGGTTCTAGACCGACAAGTCCTCTGCCGATGTGGAGCACTCCGAGGTCCCACTGCATGTGTAGTCCGAGGACGTCACTGGGTTTCCTGCGACATGCTCCGAAGATCTCCGAACCTGTGTGCCGGATTCCTTGCCTCGAAAGGGGGCCGGAGGCCCCAAGTCGAACTCCAGCAACAGCCTCATCGCAGCCCGGCCCGGAGATTCGGAGAAGCCAGGACTTGGAGCCCCGACGCTGCATCGTTCAACAGGGGACACTTCCGTACAGAGATGACCTGTGCAAGCTGAAAGGAACGGAACGCAGAACTTCTTCACGCGGCAGGTGCCTGGAATCCCAGTCTGAGCAATGAGCAAGCCAAGCCTTCACCTGCAAAGGACACGTGCAGCGCTTCCACAAACGCAGGGGAGCATTCTCAGGCGTCTGCAGCTCGCATGTTCTGGACTAAGGCCAATGATGATCTTGCAGGTGCTGCAAGCCTGCAACATGCGATGAACAGAAGACCCGACCAGGTGCTTCAAAAAAGCGAGGCTTCAATACAATGCGAACGAATTGAAAATCCTGCATTCCGCAGGTGGCTCTGTCGGACCAATCAATGCGCGAACAGCGAGCAGTCATGCCTCTGCCAAATCCAGGAGCGTCCGGATGGCGCTCATCGTTGCGTCTGTGGTACCTTCCCCGAGAAATCCTGAATTCGAACCGTGAAACCTGAAAATCGAAACTAATCAGGACTCCACTCGATCCCAAGCCGAAGGTGAAGGAAGCCGACCACGGGCCTGGTTCCTCACCCTCTGAGCAGATGAGATTCGCATAGAGCAAACTGCTTGCCACATCGCGGAGGCAGTCCTTGGTAGCCAAGCGCAACCATTGCAAGAACCGTGTGATACGATGGATGGCTGAGCTCGGAGGCAAAACCAACTCCAGCGCTTACAGAGCCCTGCAAAGCTGAAGTGAAACCCACACTCCGTCCAGGTGAGAAGAAGAATGTCCTGGCCTTTTCAAACGACCAAAGCCTCACAGGTGTGGCTCGGAGTCCGAGCCGCTCTGGTAGTCTGAGGTCCCCTCCCCCACGCCTTGGAGGAGCTGCTGATCTGCACTCGCATGCATGCAATTAATAAAGAGAGAAAGGAAAGAACAGCTAGAGAGACAAAAAAACTACTCACATCAACTTACATCTGCCCACAAAAACCAGTTTCGAAGCATAACAACTTAACGGATACCGGTTTCAGGCCCTTTAAGCAGGTACCTTGTAGGTTTGGCTTGACTGGTCATGATCACTGAACGCAGTGGTCAAGCTGAAACCTAGTAAAGACCGGACCGATTTCGCGTTTCAACACTGCAGGAACCGCTTAGAA